GGGAAAAATGTGTGTGTGTGTGTGTGTGTGTGTTTGTACTGTCCATGGGAGAGGGCGGGTCACTCAGCGTTAGAGTACTCCGTTCCGTTCGTTAAAAAACCCGAACGGAAATTACCTAAGTGTCAGTCATTTCCCATTGTAATACGAATATGGTAATCATAACCAAGTTTTATTAAGTTGACGTAGGATTAATATTACCATTAATTAATAATTGTCTTAACCTGTGTTAATGTGGGTTTTTGTTCTACGTTAGCGTATAAGGAAATGCGTCACTACTGTACCTCTTAACCTTTTCTATGACTCGCCAAGGCTTATTTAAACAAGCATTAATCATTAACCAGTTTCATGTAGGTAATATGCTTATACTGTAATAAGACCAATAATAGACACAAACGGAAGTACTTTGAAAACCAAATGATAGATTATGGTGACGTGGCGTGACTTGTGCTGCATCTCGTATGCCTGAGGACACTAGCTGGCGGTGAGGTGATGGATGTCTGTAGACCGTATTAACAGTGTCCATTTGAATCTAAACACTACGACGGGCTCATTTATGACTGGGACCAAGGATTCTATACTCACTTCAGGATTGGGTCAGTTAAAATAGCTAGGTTGTATTTGGGTCTATACGGACAGAGGAGCAGGCTATTTTTTTGTCATTTCACCATTAAGCTTACTAGCCGTTCGGGCAGTCGGTCCATTTAGTGTTAGTACAGGAGGAAACCAAACTGGGAAACCTGTGATGTTTAGTAAGCCTTTCTCACGTGTGTCTGGGCCTAGCAGGAGTCGAACCCTTGACGTATTAGTGAGACCCACTGTACCGCCAAAGATCACACGTCATAAATACAGGTTATCGTTGAAGGCCACCCACACATCGACTGGCTTCCACTCATTCAGGCTCCACTTCGCTCCCTTGATGTATTTTTCAATGTTATTGTTTATACTTCCACAAACTATAAACAAAACTTGTAATAAATGTGCGACAGTTGCGGGGAAGACGTGAATATCACACACATTTAGGGGAATGTTTGATGCTTGTTTGGAGGAAATAAATCTTATATGCGTGTTTTTTCTTAAGATTTATTTTCAGATCACGTGAAGATTAGCCCTCCCCCCCTCCCCATCTTTTATCCCTGATGAATAAATACCTAACCTAATGTAACCTAATGTAATCTAAGCTAACCTAACCTAATTTAACCTAACGCTAACCTAATCTATTGTATTCTAACGCTAATCTAATCTATCCTTACATAGTCAAATCTATTAAAGCCTAATCTACCCTAACCTAATCTAATATAACCCAACATTGCCTTATTGAATCAAACCTAACCCTGCATCGCCTAATCTATCCTAACCAAGCCTAATCTAACCCTCTCGATAGCATTACGGTGTTTAATCATAAGGTGAGATAACCTTGGAGGGCTATCTACACCAAAAAAGACTCTAGCACTGTATAGCCCTTGTAGTATGTCGTCGTGGTAATTTTCCTACATCGTACATTTTGTGGTTTCTAGACATTGCAGCGTCTCAAGGTGAAGGCTGACTGTGGCTTCGTAATCGGCGGTATCATTATTTCTGGCATTTCACACATACAAAAACCTTTCTCAGGGTGAAAAAAAAAATATAATCGCATTCCGCTGTAGTCTTCTCCTCAACAGGAAGTACCACAGGGTTAAAAATAACACGCATGATCTCACAAATATTAGTAATTTTCGAATTCGGTAAGTCATTGAATATTTCCTTCTTTATATTAAATCAAACACAGCCAGAACATATGTACAGTGTATTTTATATATCACCTCTAATCAGCTTCACCGTGAGATATAAGACCCTGTAGTACAATATAAAATATACTTGAATTTTTGTACATACAGCAGTGACCTTGAGTATTGACAGATTTAAAAATATATCGTCATTCACGTCATTTAATGATGACGTATGTTTACCTCTCATTTGTATCTTGGTGTCTGGAGATGAGTTATCATACACGAAAGGCAGTGTTTATATGTACATACGACAGACACACAGACACTACTGATACTGTATTACTACAGGCAAACCGGGGAATGAGAGATGTAGAAATGCCGCCCTTGGTGTGAGCGAGGAGCCCACTAGCCATGTAAAGTTTGTCATCCGTCACACACTCACACACAAGCACGACCGTCACGATGATTCGACCATGCTGATGGCTGGCCACCCCTAGAACTAATTCTCGGACCCGGAAAGAAATCAGAGGACACACACAAACTCGATTACTACTGTATACCTGCTGGGTCATCATCAAATCGTGATTGGTAGGAAAGAAGAGTGAAGGTAATGGCATTTCAGTGAACACACGATGCACTCAACGCAAAATCATGCCCGAGGAAATGTCGAAATCATGTGAGTGAATAAATTTTTTTTTACACTACCTTTTCCTCTTCGCCATTTTCAACTCCCTAGTCGGGGATGTACACGGGCAATTAAATGTATTTGAACGGTAACCGGGAAAACTATTTTGGCTAGGCTGTGTTAGGTTAGGTTAGACTTCAGAGGGAAAAATGTGAAGCAGGAGTGGAGGTGAAAGTGTTGCGAAATGTAGGAGTAGTGTTAAGTGGTAAAATTTACGTTAATATAGTACAACGCATGAATAAAAAAAGTTAATTTATAGCAAAGAGGAAAGTTATTTTGTGAGAGAATAGAACGGATAGTATCACATGGCAGAATTTAAATAAAAAAAATCTTATTTATTTGGTGTGTTCTGGAGGTGAACGTAAATAAAGTCACGGAAAAAAAGTCACATGGCTTGTACACATTGACAACACATTATATATATGATGGCATTGCACGTAGGTTAGGTTAAGTTAGGTTAGGTTTGTTTTTCTCCGTGTCTTTTTTCTGTGACTTTTTTCCTGGTTTTGTTCTGGACGAAGGAAAAGCTTGTATAGTCATATGATTTGATTCCCTAACACATTTCAACAGTATAGCAAGCGTAGGTGTGTGAGTGTATGTTGACGAGCTAAAAGACTACAATGACTTGTGGTATTGTTGTTTAGAAGTGTCAGTGGTCGTCATGATATATCCTTTCCATCATGTTGATAGATGTCCGTCGCGTCCTGCGCTTCAACCGACGATATTATCATCTTCAGTTTCCTGTCGGTCTTCTTAACTCACATCTTGGTATCAATGTCGCCTCCCTTCTTTGAACATTCGTTATTGCGTAAAATGTCTTTCATCCTGTGGGAGAAACACTAACCATGGTCTTGTAACAGTCATCTTCATTTTTTTCATCTAGGTAGACAAATGGCTACGGGATCAGAGCACCATTTGTTTCCTCTATTTAGTACATGCCTGTCTGACTCAGTTCTTATGGCTGAATATTGATATTGAATTGATATTGAAACAGTTTATTTGGCCAGAAAAATATAGATACAGAGTCGATAATAACAACAATACTGAGAGGAAAGAGTGAACACAATTATTTAACGACGAAGAGCAACACGATACAGATGTGTGTGTCACTACAAACTTATACCCGTTGTTGATGACGTGATGGAGCGTGGGTCAGCTGATCACGTAAACACAGGTTCTGGGTATTGTTTTGAAAAATAGGATGGGTGTCCTCTCTCTCTCTCTCTCTCTCTCTCTCTCTCATCTACGTTCTATGAATGTATGTATTTATATCGCTAATATTGTCCTCACTTTTCTCCTCACCTGCGTGTACAGACGGTGACACACATACACCCCACACACACACACACCCCCACACACACACACCATTTCTGCAGTCTATTCTTGAAGATGATCATACATTAAACACAACCTACCAACGCCGCTCACCAGCAAGACCAGTTAGGTGAGTCCACCTTCTCCAGGTAATTCCCGTGACGCCACACAGGTAACCCCCCCGTCACCAAGCAGGATGCGGGACCCCCTCACCAAACTTCATCCTCTTAACAGTTCTCACCTCTTTCACCAGTACTGGAAAAGATGATGCTCCTAAGTAAAAGTAATGTCATTGGGGGGAGGGGGTATTAAAGTAGAAAGTAGCCTCACTGGAGATTACTTAAGTAAAAAGAGTACGAGACTTTGTAAGTATTTTAAGTAGTAAAACTAAAACGTAACTTTCTTCATATAAAAATAAAATGCTTCATGATGGCATTCAACCCTAATATTGAACTGATTATGGACATTCTTTTTCTTAACTTATTTCTCTTCTGTTTCATCCTGTCTAAGTTATGACGTAGGTGATAATTGACTCATAGATTTCTCCATTTCACACCTGCCTGTATTCGTGTGTGTGTGTGGGAGGAGGATTGTTGGGTAAAGGGAAGGTTGTTTGTATGTGTGTGTGTGTTTATGGGGGACACACATAGAAGTAACAATACCTAGATATATACACAAATACATATAAATATACAAACAAACAAAAACACACAAGTATATGATGTGCAGTGTGTGTGTGTGGAGGAATGATTCAACGTAGTGACTAAGGTGTGTTGGGTGTGGGATGCACACCACACACACACACACACACCAATCTTCTTCGTGGTAATTCTTATGTCGTGTTATGTAGGGGGGTTACACACATCCTACCGCAAGTGAGAGAGAGAGAGGACTTCCAAAAAACAAAAGGATCTTCTCACTGACGTCATCATCAATATAATCTCTATTTATATCTTACTTAAATCAGGGTTAACGTATCTCACCTTTGCTAGACGTGATTATATAATGAATTACATGAAGATCAGCCTCCCTAGTTTATTTCAACTTTGAAGTTTTGCTAACTTAATCTAACGCTAGCCTAACCTATCCTAATCCCCCAGGTAATATGAAGGTAAAAGAAGCTAGGAAACTAATAATTATTCCTGTGATTCAGATAATATAAATTACTAGATATACAATTACTTTTATCGTCCTCAATAACCAAGGAAATATTTAAGGTGATTGGATATTCATCCAGTGTAAGGGTGCAGTTTCTTACTCAAACCGCTTCCCTTTGCCGACTCCCGTGGCCCACCCAGGCCCAGCTCAAGGCCTCAATCCTCCCTCAGTTGTACGTCAGCCACCGGGGTATAAACACCTGTGCGCACTTCACTCCCTCACCACTACCACCTGTGGACTCTGCTCACGTCTGTCAATCACATCCGTTAACACTATCTACAGTTAGGTAAGCCAAGAGCGCTTTTTGTTTCATTAATTGCAGGAGTTTTATTTTATCGTGAGTGATATTTTGACGTGATCAACTTTTGGAAATATTTGTCAAGATGCAGGTCTGTTGTGGTGTGTTGGACATACACCACTACCACTGTGAATTATTGTACAGTATATTCGTTTGTATACCTGCACACACACTATGTATATGCTGAGCTAATGCGAACTTACTTAACGATCTTACTGAATATTTATCTATATACACAATCCCTAAACACCCTTTTATAACTACCAAATTCAAGCAGAAAATACCAGGAATAATTCTTTATTTAATTTAATAACTTGCGATAGTTTCTGGGTAACGTTGGCGCAGTATTGATCGTCTTTTATCACTGATAGATGCATTGTCACGTTTTCTGTGTTGGGGAGAATTTTATCGTTCAAACTTTTTTTTTTTTTTTGCATTGGGTGGCTTCCATAATACTCGCCTACTATTCTTGATGACTTGATCACTAAAGCTTCCTTACTTGTGTGGGTGACGTGGAGGTGTGACGTTGGTCTGACGTTGTGGAGGTGTGACGTGATGTGACATGATGTTGTGACGTTGCGATAATATAAGTACACACCATTACTTAAACTAGCACACTTATAATAAACTCCACCCAAGAGATTCATCTCGCGAATCGAAGTAAAATCACTTATAAAAATTATCTCCAACTACCGGAAATAATGGTATGGGAAATAACATACACATTGCGTTACGATCTTGACGTCAAAGGGGGGGGGGTCAGATAGTTTCTATAATTTGTCCCGTGAGGGTGCTAGTTTGTTGGGCACCCTCTTGCATCATGTGCAAAGTGATGCGCAGAAGCGTTTACAGCGCCCGACATGGAAGTATGCGTAGTTCATGCTTGCCTTCATGACTCGTGCATTAAGAGCGTAAATGCCTAAGGGTCATGGATTTTGTCAGCAAGTTACATAAAGTGACAATATGATGAGTGTGGGGGGGGGGGGAAATTTCCAATACAATTCATCTGTTTATGGCAAAGCGTGGCAGGTCCCTAATAATGAGGTCAAGAATGGTTGCAGTGACCTCAAAGGGATCGATCAGTATGAGATCATACTGGGTCAGGTTAAGGCCGGAGTGGGTGGGCTGGAAAGTGACCTTAGTCTATAAATGTTTAGTCACAAGACATGAAGATATACACAAGTGATCGTGGGCCCTTCGTGCCCGGTGGCGAGTCCGGTGGTACAGTTTACCCAGGCGTGAAAGTTCGAACGCTTGTGCTTGTGCTTGGCTAGAACGCAACTGCCGTCCGGCTGACAGCGTACAGCGACCTCGTTTTCCATATGGTCGTGGTTGTTATAATCATGGTCGTGGTTGTTATAATCATGGTCGTTATAATCATAGTCGTGGTTATGATCATAGTCGTGGTTGTTATAATCATGGTCGTAGTTATGATCATAGTCGTGGTTGTTATAATCATGGTCATGGTTGTTATAATCATGGTCGTGGTTGTTATAATCATGGTCGTGGTTGTTATAGTCGTGGTTATGATCATAGTCGTGGTTGTTATAATCATGGTCGTGGTTGTTATAATCATGGTCGTGGTTGTTATAATCATGGTCGTGGTTGTTATAATCATGGTCGTGGTTGTTATAATCATAGTCGTGGTTATGATCATAGTCGTGGTTGTTATAATCATAGTCGTGAATTTGTTATAATCATGGTCGTGGTTGTTATAATCATGGTCGTGGTTGTTATAGTCATAGTCGTGGTTATGATCATAGTCGTGGTTGTTATAATCATGGTCGTGGTTGTTATAATCATGGTCGTGGTTATTTATAATCATGGTGTGGTTAGTATAATCATGGTCGTGGTTGTTATAATATAGTCGTGGTTATGATCATAGTCGTGGTTGTTATAATCATAGTCGGTAAGTTTTTATAATCATGGTCGTGGTTGTTATAATCATGGTCGTGGTTATTATAATCATGATCGTGGTTGTTATAATCATGGTCGTGGTTATAATCATAGTCGTGGTTATGATTATAGTCGTGGTTGTTATAATCAGAGTCGTGGTTGTTATAATCATAGTCGTGTTTATGATCATAGTCGTATTATAATCATTCGTGGTTATATAATCATGGTCGTGGTTGTTATAATCATGGTCGTGGTTATAAGCATAATCCGTGGTTGTTATAATCATGGTCGTGGTTGTTATAATCATAGTCATAGTTGTTATAATGGTCGTGGTTGTTATAATCATAGTCGTGGTTATAATCATGATCAAGTAGTTGTTATAATCATGGTCGTGGTTGTTATAATCATAGTCGTGGTTATGATCATAGTCGTGGTTGTTATAA